GTGCTTGGGTGGCTCAGCTGGCTGAGCGTCTGACTCTTGATTTTGGCTCAGGTCATGATCTCATGGTTGTGGGATCAAGCCCCATGTCTTTCTGCACTGGGCAAAAAGCCTGCTTAGGATTCTGTCTCTCTCCCTCTGCCCCTCCTCTGCTTGTGCACTCTCAAAAAAAAAAAATTAAATTAAAAAAAAAATATATATATATATATATAAATCCCTCCTAGATACACACCCAATCGAAATGGGTATATATGTTCAAAGGATATGTACAAGAATGTTCACTGAGGCATTATTTATAATAGTAAAAACTGGAAACAATGCAAATATGTCCACTGACAGTAGAATGGATAAATACATGTAAACTGTATTTTACTCAATATGATGGAAAAACTGCAACAAACTACAACTAAACAAACATGTTGAATCTCACAAACATAATAGTGAGTAAAAGCCAGACACCAAAAAGTACATAATAAACAATTCATTTATATAAAGTTCAAAGACTGTCAAAACTAATCCATGATATTAGAAGCCAGAAAAGCGATTACCACTAATGGGGAGTTGTAGTGACCAGCAGCCTGAGGTTGTAGTAATGTTTTATTTCCCAAACTGGGTACTGGTTACCCTGGTGTTACATTTTGTAAAAATTCAGTGAACTGAACTCTTAAGATTTCTATATGTATACTACAATAAAAAGTTTACGTTTAAAAAAAAGGCAATAGTATCAATTTAGTGGAAAGTATGGAGTTGAAAATGCTAAGGACAGGTTGAGATACAGTACCAGATCAGAACGGGGCAAATGTCACACTGTCCTTCTATATTCTTAGGGCAGCCACAATGCAACTGACCTTGCTTTGGCCTCCAGGGAGGGAAGGTAGGGGTCTTTAGAAGAATCTAACTGCTCTTCTCATCTGCTGGCTTAATTCCTAGACAATTGGCTAAGTTGTCCAAGTGGTATAATCAAGAAACAGTATGTAAGTAGAAGAAGCCCAAAATCCTAATCAAGGCTGAGACTGGACAGAGGTATAACATTACTGAGCCCAGGGTGGGGAAAATTCTCTGAGTAAGCACTGACCTCCCCAAGCATGCTATACTACATTATACTACTTTCCAAGCAAAACAAATACTGGATTCTCCCCTTTGCTGGAGGGAACCAGAAATGTGGATAATTACTCAAGGCAGTTCTCCTAAAAAGTATCCTTATTTTGCATCCAAGGGCCATCAATTTAAGGTCCAAGAGAGACTTGGATTGAAGATCAACCAACTTCACTACATAAGCAATTATTAAGTATCATGTCAATGGAAGGTTCCACCTTATATGTGCAGAGGAAAGAAGGTTTCAGAGCAAAATAAGATCTACCCTATGCTCAAAATAATATCAAGGTAGGTAGTAACTGATCAGCAGCCTGATACAATTTCCAGAAAGATTTATCCTCTAAGTAGGATAAGAGATGGCTTCCGGGAATAAGTATATTTATTAATAAGTTTATTTTTGTGAGGAAGAGTGAGAGAGACAGAGAGACAGAGAGAGCATGCACACGTGGGGAAAGGGGCAGAGAGAGAGGGAGACACAGAATCCAAAGCAGGCTTCAGGCTCTAAGCTGTCAGCGCAGAGCCTGATGTGGGGCTTCAACCCACAACCGTGAAATCATGACCTAAGCCGAGGTCAGATGCTTAACCAACTGAGCCGCCCAGGTGCCCCTGGAATAAATACATTTAAACTGGGACTTGAAGGATAGAGAGAATTTTAAGGGCAACATGGGGAATAAGAAGAGTACTTAGATATTTTAGACAAAGGCAAATGAGGTAAGCAAAACCAGAGAATAGAAAGCACAGGCAAGAAATGAGCATCTACAGTATCTACAGTGTGCTAAGCACTGTTAAACATGTTGCTTTCTTTTATCGTTTATTTTTGAGAGAGAGAGAGAGAGCGAGAGAGAGCGAGAGAGAGCGTGCACGCACAAGCAGGGGAGGAGAAGACAGAGTATCCAAAGCAGTTTCTGCACTGTTAGCACAGAGTCCGACCAGGGACTTGAACCCACAACTGTTGAGATCATGACCTGAGCTGAAATCAAGAGTCGGACACTTAACCAATTGAGCCATACATGCTGCTTTTTATATAATTAATTCATGAGGCTCAGAAAGGTTAGGTAATTTGCCTATATCAGTAAACTGGCATCACCAGGATTAAAATCTATTTCAAATTCTAATTCCAGAAAAGGTGATCATTCCAGTATGTGTGGCAAAGGGAACAATACAAGATAAAGCTGAAAAGTTAAACATAGATCAGGACCCTGAAAAATTTTTATTTTGTGAATTTGAGCCAATGAAGGTTTTTTTTTAGGAGTAGAGTCACAAAAGGTATCATCAAGTAATCTATTCAAGAAAGACTTAAGAAGAGGGGCACATGGGTGGCTAAGTCAGTTAAGTGCCCAACTTCGGCTCAGGTCACAATCTCACAGTTTGTGGGTTCAAGCCCCGCATGAGGCTCTGTACTTACAGCTAGGATCCTGGAGCCTGCTTCGTATTCTGTGTCTCCCCCTCTCTCTGCCCCTACTTGTGCTCTCTTTCTCTCTCTGCTCCTACCCCACTTGTGCTCCTTCTCAAAGATAAATAAACAAACATTTAAATGAAAAAAGAAAAAGGAGAAATGTTAAAATTAAGTTGAAAAGTATGGGTGGAGACCAGAGAATGTATCTTAAAACTGTAAAAAAGAGCACTGGAGATGAAGCAACGAGAAGACAGACTGCCTCCAGAATTTGGATAAAGGTACTCAGAAGCAATTATGATGCCAAACACAGAAGAAGTAAAGATAAGAGCTTACTAATAAAGGCAGGAGAAGATACTAAAGACATGGTCCACCAAAACACATTACAAGAGCAGACAATATATCCATTTTATTCACCAACGCATTTAGGACCTAGCACAGTATTTCTCACACATAGTAGGTAATCAATAAATTCCTATAGAAGGGAAAAAGGTCAAAAGCAACAAATGAGAGACAGAGGTAAAGGACTGGATCAAGATTTTAATAATACATGATAGCATATAATAATAGGTGATGATTTAAGCAACTGAAATAAATGAAAATTTCACTAGAATGTAAAGACAGAGAAGGCAGGATACGGAAATCTGGAAAATACCAGGCATATCTGGTAATGACAAAAGTAATTCGAGAGAGACAGGAGAAAATATCAGAAGTCAAGAGAAGTGAGAAAGGTCACAGATGGCTTTCTGCAAGGGAAGTTTAGGAGAAAGTTAGAAGACAGATGAAAGACGCAAAGAAGTAAGTAGCTGGTGAGGAAATGGCCTAGAAAATGTAGAGAACATATTCAAAAGGTATGATGAAGAAAATCAAGAAAATAGGAAGACAAAAGCTAAAGGAGATGGCATGATTGTGGTAATGTGTTCTTCGGTGGGGAAACTGAAGAAGTTGGAGGGTTAAAGGGTATGAAGTCCCAAAAGTAGCAGGATGAGATAGGAATAAGCGCATACAAGGGTTGAACGAGGTAAGAGGAGGAACAGCTCTTCCTTTGAAACTGGAGACGTGGAGGGAAAAGAGAGTAAAAGAACTGTGCCAGAGTTCTATATTGTCACCCCTCTCCTTAAAAGTGAGAGAGAAGAAAGCTTCTCAGAAAGTCCAAGTCATTCCCAGGCAACAGACCACTTACAGAGCCACCACAAATTCCACTTGAGTGTGCTTTACAATGTCCTGATAGACAACACACTCACTCCTAGGAACAGGAGTCTGGACTGACCCATTTCTCTATCTGGCCCAGCTTTGCCTGGCATAAAGACCAGAACCCAGAGGATCCCAGTAAATGTTACTGGGATGGAGTGTGAGCAGGTAAGCAGGACCTGGGATGATTCAATGGCTCATATAGGCTGATATTTCTCCTATAAAAGGAATAATGACATTAAGGAAGAACTCTGGCTAGATCAAAGAACCCACACTGAGTCCTCCCTAGGAGCCTCCAGGGAGCTACCCTGAGAAGAGTCCTATCTTCATTATCACTGTCCCCAGAGAACTGTACCATACACTGGCGTCTTCCCTGGCAGGATGACGATAATGAGCTGCAGCCCTGAGTAGGTGTTCTTGAGATGCCGGAACATGGGCTCCACGCTGTCTGCCCCCTGCGCATATTTGCAGAAGCAAGGCTGGCCCTGGATGGGCATCCCTGCATCCTTGGAAATCTTCCGCAGCTGGTCTGTGAAGTTCCTGCAGCACAAGTATGATCATGACAGGAGGCAGTGAGTCCCACTTTAATACCTCTGAATAAATGCCTCCATCTTAGGTACCTAGCACTATGATAACCACTGAGAGATTCTGAGATAAATGAGATTTGATCACAGCCAGTGTAAAAAACACATTTGTAGTTGAGTAGGACAAAACCAAGCTTGCTAAGTATTTAATGGTGCAAACAGAGAGCCAAGGGAGCCCAGAGAAAGAATCTGTGGGAATTGAGTCTCCACCTTGTCCCAATCAGCAATTGATTCCTGTGCACTAAGTCCATAGCAATAGGCAAATGCCCAAGAGAAAGGCTTCTGCTCATATTAAAAGAAGCTCCAACAGTGATCACAGCACAGGAGGTGCTCAGTAAAAATGAATTCCCTCCTCCCCTACTGATTCTTTGAGACCTAAGAGCAAATAATTAAACAAGCTTCTTTTCTTTGGCTTTAGGGCTTTGCCCTACGAAAGGAAGAAAGGGTACATATGTAGATTTTAAAAAATCTAACTACATAAATACAGTAACAAATTGAAATGGGTAGCAGGAAATTTAACTTGTGAAAATCCTACATTCAGATTAAAAGCAATATACAAGTAGACAATAAAAGGAATTGTTTAGGGGACATTATATACCATACAAATAGCAATACGATAGATTCAAAAGTCTATATAGTAAGAAAATAAATATTTTTTAACATATTTAGTAAACACACACACAAAATAAATACAGTTATGATACTATTATATAAAATTTGAAAGCATATATATATAGGTTTACAAAATATATAAATTAGATAGGAAGGTCATGATAGTTCATGACAGTGGCTACATCAGAAGGCAGGAATGGAACTAGGATTGAGGATATAAAGGAACATCAAATTTAATAAGTCAAATTTAATAAGTGGGTCTCTACTTCAAAGAAAGTGGTATTCCCAATCTTCTCTCTACCACCAGATCACACTTGGTATATTGTGTCCTGTGCTGGGGACCACGATGTGTTTAAAGAAGTCTAGAATGGAGAAGGTCTTGAAATCCTGTCCTAAAAGTGATATAGCTGAGGTAACAAGACTTCTTTAGCCAGAAGTAAAATGCTGAGGGTTGACCCTAGGACACCTCATCCATCCCCAATTACCAATTTATACACCTCCACAGCCACCTCTTCTCCCTCTGTCTCAGTAGAAAGGATGCCTTTTCCTGTACCCTGGGGATCCCATCCCTCATACACAGTTAGGAACTTTGCTCTATTTCCTTTCTAGATTCTCAGAGTTCTGTCTTTAGCTTCTGTTCACTATTTACACTCTCCCTGGACAATCTCATCCACTGCCATACCTTCACACTCCCAGATTTTAATCTTTAGCCTAGAACCAAACATCCAACTAGGTCCCACTGACGCAGGTATACAAGCCATATTCTTACCCCTTGCATGTGAGGATAGAGAATGGGATGTCTGATGAACTGACTCCCAATTCCAAGATTCTAGGTTTACTAGTTTCTGTACCCCAATATATCCAAAACAATGGATTGTTTCTCGAACTGGACATGGGAATAAGAGAGAAGCACACAAAAGGATTTATCTTCCAATAAGGTGACACAAAGGCAGAGAGCTGGGAGCCTTTCCAATATTGCTGTGGGCCAACTCTCCAATGTTAGGCTGAGGCTAGGAATGGCTTGACCCAAATGGTGCTAAAGTCCCAAAAACCCAGGAAAGGAGACAAGAGGAACTCATTTAAAAGAAACTGTAAGTATGATGGTAGTAGTCGTGCATCTGTGAGAGCAGAGGGGAGAAGGACAGGCAGGGCAGCCAGAGTCCCCACATTCATCAGGTGCTACTGTAACTAATTCTCATTAAAATCCCAAAGCCAGCTGAACCTGCCAGGGCACAAAGCTCTATCATCCTTGTCAATAACGAAAGTGGTCAGCTCCACCAGCTCTTCCTCAGCCTACGAGTGCACTGACCCTATTCCGGACGCAGAGTGAATAAGAAGCCACTGCTTCAAAAGAATGCAGGCACTAATCAACTGTACACTTTAAATGGGTTAATTTTGGGGGCGCCTGGGTGGCGCAGTCGGTTGAGCATCCGACTTCAGCCAGGTCACGATCTCGCGGTCCGTGAGTTCGAGCCCCGCGTCGGGCTCTGGGCTGACGGCTCAGAGCCTGGAGCCTGTTTCCGATTCTGTGTCTCCCTCTCTCTCTGCCCCTCCCCCGTTCATGCTCTGTCTCTCTTTGTCCCAAAAAGAAATAAACATTGAAAAAAAAAAATTTTTTTAAAAATAAAAAATAAAAAAAAAATAAATAAAAAAATAAATGGGTTAATTTTGTGGTATTTGAAATACCTCATTAATAATAAGACTGCAGGGGGAGTGCCTGGGTGGCTCAGTTGGTTAAGAGTCCAACTTCGGCTAGGGTCATGATCTCACAGTTGGTGAGTTCAAGCCCCACATCAGGCTCTGTGCTGACAGTTCAGAAAGCTTTGAATTCTGTGTCTCCCTCTCTCTCTCTTTCCCTTCCCCACTTGTGTTCTGTCCCTCTCACTCTCAAAAATAAATAATAAAACATTAAAAAAATAATAATAATTATAATAAGACTGCAGGGAAAAGTCAGTTACTTCTTTACTATTTATTCATTCACCCAAGACCATTACTCCCCTAAAATGTTTCTTTAAACCATTTGGCTGTATCATTTCCTTCATTGCTGTCATCTATTCCTAGTCTCTCAGCCACAGGTAGCTAAGAGGCCCTTACAACTCATGTTCATCTAATTCAGGTCACTTGGACTTGAATGAAAAAATTGTATGTATAGGAGAGAATAGCTCAGAGAACCAGATGAGCTTTTGTTTCCAATGAGGAATAGAAACTTAGAAACCTCAGATCTAATTTGATCCCAACTCTGACACTTTGATATGCAAACCTTGTACAAGATACTCTTTGAGCCTCAGTTTCCTGAAAATGGAAATACCACCACCTACTCACTGTGAAGATGAAATGAGAGAACATAAAATTAGGTATGGTGCTGGTATAACACTATGGTCATCACTACTATTATTTACTACCAATGTTAATAATTATAACAATAAAATAATTCAGGCCCCCCTCAGGAAATTCATGCCCTGAAATCATCTCTGACACAGATATAGCTCCTCATCAAGACTTCTGACTGCAGATGGACAGAAAAGGAGCAGGTAAAACTTTGAGCCAGAAAGAACAGGGAAGCAGGGTCAAAAGTCAGAAAGAAGAGACTACAGAACAAATCTTGGCTCTTTGTGGGTAGGGGAAGGTAGGCAGCTTTAAGGTCCTTCCCACCCTTCCACCCATACACCCAACCCTCCTTACTTGAGCACCTCTTCTCGACACTGCTTTTGGGGTGCGAAGCAGGCGATGGCCCAGACTTTGATCTCAATCCCATTGTAGAACTGTTTTCCCCGCATGTCCCAGACACCCTGATTAGGTGTGGCAATGGCCCGGTTCTGGGGATAGGCAGAGGGGGCGTCCAGGTGAGCCTCAGTAGAGCCAGGTGAGTAGGGGAACAAAAGCCCCTGGAAACATAACCCAACTCCCCCCACCATATGCCCCAGAGATGTTGTCTGGCCCTGACCCTGCTCACCCGGCCGCCGTACTGCAAGATGGGCGCCGGCAGCACTCGCCCTGTCACCTCCGTCATGTCATCCTTCACTTTGATCCCAAATTCCTGGATGTAGGGATCTAGATTGTAGCTGGCATTCTTCATCTGTAAGACAAAAGAAGGGGATCTCAGGGGAGCAGCAGCTTGGCAATACTGCTCACCCTCTGGGTCCCAAGGAGAAAGCCCTGAAGAGCAGCTGGGGCTGGCAAGTAATAGCCCTAAAAAAGGGGGGAAAGTGGAAAATGAAGTAAGTGGGAGTGGATAACACAGGGAAGTAATACAGGAGGGAAAAAGAAATAGGAAGCCAAGTAGCTACAGGGTCAAGAAACAAGAGCAGTCCTATGGAATCCCAGGCAAGAAATCCAGACTTGTGTTCTCCTGAGGATCCTGCCAAGGCAGAAAAGCATCTATGCTACCAGGGGCCCCAATGACTGAGCAACCAAGCATACATTTCTCTGCAGCCCTACTGACCAGGCGGCTAATCTCCTCCTGTCTGTCTGGGGCCGACCTAGCTGTAGCCTTTATCATGGTCGAAGTCTGGTTGTCGGTCAACTTCTTAATGCAGCGCTGCCCAGCCACAATGTTACAGACCTGAGGAAACGAGAAGGACAGGTAGCTCTGGCTTGAGTACAGTCCACCCTGTACCCAGAGCCCCACAATAAGGGAAGAGACCTTGGCTGTCAGCCCTGAGAAGGGGACTGCAAAATCCCCTGTGCAGAGATAGGTAAGTTAGAAAATATCCACTTGCAATACAAAGGCAATATAGCCACTTTGTCATTAAGAGGTTGGGATCCAGAGCCAGATCTGGGCCCAGGTCTCATGTTAATTGGGGAGAACAGAAACAAACTCATAGGGCTGTTTGGAGACTAAATAAAATAAAGCACTTAAAGGACTGAGTACAATTCTGGAACACAGTAAACACTCAGTAAACTCTAGCATAAATTATTATTTACCAAATGACCCAGTAAACAGCTCTTCTGCATACTAAAAAACTCAATATACACAAACTGGATTCTTAAGGTAATAGACAGCTCTCCAATGGTGACAAGCAGTCAGTTGCTCCCCTGCAACTCACCAGGAAAACTAGAAATGATTCTTAATGCTTGAGCCCCAGCCTACAGATGATCACTGAGCCCTGGACTACAGAAATCACTGTCTCAGTTGGCTGACAGCATCCTCTGTTGGTGTGAGGAATATCCTGTCATGTGTTCCTCTGTTTGGGGCCCAAGAGAACACAGTGGAGATTAGAAAAGACTTTCTAGCAATGTGAAAGACTTCCATTCCCCAATATACTATATTCAGGATGCCATGAACAGGAAACCTTTTTGGAGAGTAGAGAGAGCCAGCAGGTTGGGAAGATTTGAATCTGAAGCCCAGCTTTGCCATTTCTAGGTGATATTACCTTGGGCAGGTCTCTTAACTACTCTGAGACTATGCTTCTTTAATTTCAGTCATGCGAGAAAGCATTAGCTATCTATGGGGGTTGTTGTGAGGATTCAAACAAAATGAAATATATAACTTGTTCCCACAGGGCCAACACTATGTAAGTGCTGGTTTTCCTTCTAATTTCCAAACTTCATGCTGAACAATGATAGGGAAACGCAGAACAGTCACCTGCCTTTAAATTCCATATCCCAAAGAATACACAAATTAGTCAATTCAATTAATAAAAATCCAGAATTGTCAAAAATTACGAGGTTGCTCTCTTAAAAGCACCTTAAAGTTGTAGCATTCTTGATTGATGATTTCAGCTACAGAATCAACACTAGGAAAAGACTAAAGCAAGGATGTGGAGAAATTGAAACTCTTGTGCCTTGCTGGTGGAATGTAAAATGGTACAGCCACTGTAGAAAACAGTATGGGGATTCCTCAAAAAATTAAACACAGAATTACCATGATTCAGTAAATCCACTTCTGAGTATATACTCAAAAAAAGTGAAAGCAGAGACTAGAATGAATACTGTACACATATAATCATAGCAGCATTATTCATAACAGCTAAACAAGTAGAAACAACCTAAGTGTCCATCAATGAATGAATGCATTTTTTTAAAAGTGGTATATACATAGAATATTATTCCTCCTTAAAAAGGAGGAAAATTCTGACACATGCTACAGTATAATGAACCTTGAAGACATTATGCTAAGTGAATATGCCAGTCAAAAGAAAGCCATATATAATTCCATTCATATGAAATGTCCATAATAGACAAATGCACAAAGACAGAAATAGATTAGTGGTTACTAGGGGCTGGTTGGTAGAGAGTAGGAATGTAAGTGACTGCTAATGGGTATGGGTTTTCTTCCAGGGATGATGAAAATGTTTTACAATCAGATAATGATGATGGTTATACAACTCTGAATATACTAAAAACCACTGAATTGTACATTTGAAGAGGGTAAATTTTATGGTATATGGATATTTCGATAAAGTTATTCTTAAAAAAATCCCACCTGGCTATAAAAGCCTACATAATAAGACCCTGTACCTCTCTCTGAAATCATCCCCTACTACTTTTCCCCTCATACACCACACGCCAGCCACTATGGCCTTCTCTCTATTTCTCAAAAAATCCAAGTTCCCTGCTGCTTTAGAGCCTTTGTACTTATTATTTACCTCCTGCCTGAAAGGTTCTTCCCTCAGGTTATTACGAGGTTGGTTCTATCTCATAGTTTAGGACTCAAATGTATCCTACAAAAGGACTTCCCTGAGTACAATAACTAAAGTGGCTCTCCAACCCCCTCCTCCTTTACCTCTATCCCCTTAATCTGTTTTATTATTCTTATACCACTTACCACCATCTGAAACTATCTTATTTATCAATTTATTGTCTATCTCCCCCTTCTAGAATGTAAGCTCCGTGACAGCAGGGACCTTGTCTGTCTTGTTAATCTCTACATTCCCGGCACCTAAAAGAGCATATGACACACGGTAGGAGCTCAATAAATATTTGTTAAATAAACAAACAACAAGAATAAAAATATACATTATATAAATTATTCCCCTTGGAAACTAATGTTTCAACAAAAGTAATGTTAATTTGCTGACAATATATTTAACATAATTTAGCTTACGGTAGATAGCCTAAGCTGGGATTGTCCCTGAAGACTCTTGTTTACACCTCAAAAGAACATACTGCCTTCCTCTCACTTTCCAGGTATCATCAGCTATTAACTAAAGTCAGAGTTCTTGGGTTTTGGGATCTCATCGCTTCTCAGCCTAATTCCCTCTGGCTAGTTCTAAAATCCTAGGGGCTCTTGGGTGGTTTAGTCAGTTAAGCATCTGACTTTGGCTCAGGTCATGATCTTGCAGTTCACGGCTTTGAGCCCTGCAGCAGGCTCTGTGCTGACAGCTCAGAGCTTGCGGCCTTCTCTGAATTGTGTCTCCCTCTCTCTCTGCCTTTCCCTCATTTGCACTCTGTCTCTCTCTGTCTCTCAAAAATGAAATCAACATAAATTTTTTTTTTTTTTTTAATCCTAGAAGCTCACAGAAGGCTTGAGCTTTGGTCCCAGCTATCTGACTCCTGCTATGGGAACAGAGTAAGATGTCATTCTAGGTTAGTGCTTCTCCAATTTTAATGTTCATGAGTCCTCTTTGGATTCTGTTAAGACAGATTTTGATTCAATAGTTCTAGGTGGAACCTAAGATTCTGCATTTCAAACAAGCTCCTACCCAGGTAATATCTATGCTATTGGTCTACAGACCACATTTTGGGTAGCACTAAACAATGAAGTAGTCAGCAATAATTTCTCCAAAGACATTTTGGCTAGTGTGTGTATACCAAATCAAATACAGCCCAATGACTCTGCATTTGTATTCTATGGCTTAAATAGCATTACTATTCTTTAACTGCAGGATTTCAAAGGTCTGAAGCATAAAAATACGATCAATCTTGGGACTAAAACTTTTTCAAAAGGACACATTGATCATCACATTGATAACATGAATAGAATTCACGTTATAGGTAATACCTATCTCCATTTTCTGCAAAATAAGGTATACTTACATCTCTAGGTCATTTAGGATCCCCAGCTCCAGACAGGGTAAGAGAAATTAAAAGGACATGAATGTGGGTATCTGAAATATCTGTCCTGAATGAACTAATTATTTATTAAATAGTAAACACAGCTTTTACCTCTGCCTGGCAGTCCTGAAAGAACATGAGAGCAGGATGAGGGATAATGAAAGAACGTAGCAGGTAAGAATGGGGCCTACATTTCACAGAATGACCTCATACCTCTCAGAATGTCAATTTTCCTAACTTCAAAATGAGAGTAAGAGACTACGAATGGAAGAACAGAACTGTTATGATCAGTGCGCAGGTACAATGCTTGTTCTCCAGCCCAGCCATTACTTGGCAGCCTCACCTCTAGGGGCAGGTAGGTATGCTTTTGTTCCTGGCCAACTTGCAGGCAGGGCAGGTGGGGATACTTGAGCTGAAGGTTATATTTCTGCTTGAAATACTGTGCCACTGTGCACTCCACAGTCTGTCCACTCTCCAACTGCAAGGGAAACCTGTTTGGGTGAAGGGAAGAAGGTGTCAGGGCCCAGCATTTAATCCCACCTCTTTAGACTTACAACCATGGGAAGTCCCAGACTTGGCTTCATCCCTATCCAGACTCTTTGAGCATTGCCACTCATGGGAAAGCAGGCAATACAGGGCTCCCAGAGTAAAGCCAAAGATTTGAGAGGCAAGTTCCACAACAGTCAAGACCATATCTGACTCATTTGCATTTCTAGTGCTGAGCATAAAGCCCAGTATCCAATAGGCACTCACAGACCAGTAGTCTAAGGTCAAGAAGGTAGATGGAATGAGCCCAGGAGCCTAGCTCTCTCTTTCAGGTGGAAGAGTAAGTTGAGAAAGAACAGAACTGAGACAGCAGTCAGGGGAAGACTCCTGCTCCACAATAAAGGACCAAGGAGGAGAGGTGGAGACCAAGAAGGTAAAAATGGTAAGGAGAGTATCAAGGATCTGGGAAGGTTGGAGGAGGGATACCAAAGTTTATCTTGAAAAACAGGGCTCATCCTCAGGACCAATGGGGGAGGGCATAGGAAGTGAAAGGAGTATGCTGAAATATCAGCTCTCTTCCACTAATGGTATGGCTTAGCAGCCTGTCAACTCACGTCTGATGGCTGGCAGGGCGGCGGGTAACATTACACACACGGTATTTCCTCTTCATCTGTCCACAGTGGGTCACTTCCACCTTCAGACCTGGGATACACACACTGCCAGTCAGGGTTGGAAAAGGCTGTTCATGCAACCAGGCTTGGCCTCTCCCCTGAACATATCCCAAGGGGATTTCCTTTTAGGACTAAAGAGAAAGTAGTGCCGTTTCCCTTCCCCACCTGGTTGGGTCCTCACCCTTGATCTCCTTGGTGAAGCGCACACGCTGAGAGTCCGTGAGGGGTTTGGGCTGCTCATCTATGTTCCTGATGTCCAGCACCTCACACATGAACTCAATCACTGGCTGCGCCTTATAGAAGGCAGTGGCTGAGACTGTGGGGACAGGGTGGGTAGAGCTCAACTTAGGTTCAGTCTTTCAGTATAAATGGAGGCACTGTTCTTTACACCCTCTTCCTTATAGGGTATCGGGATGGGGGAGGGGTACCAGGGCTTTAGGGATTAGACTAGGAGTGTGGTTGCAGAGCTGGGAGGGATGAGGCTGGGAGTGTGGTCACTGGACTCAGGGTGCCCCTGGCTCCATAGCTCTCCCCACTCACCGTCAATGTTGAGCATCATCTTCCACATGGCAGGGCGCACAGACTGGTGAAAGCCGAACCAGACCTCGCGCCCACCCCCCAGCGGGTGGTAGTAGCCCTCAGGCGGTGAGAAGAAGGAGCGGCCCACGGGGGTGTACCTGGCAGGGACAGGCAGAGAACTGGTCCCTCGGGCACAGGCCCCCACCCTGTGAGGCATCCTGGGCACGGAGGAGCCCTGGCCTGGAAGGCAGGACACCAGGGCTTTAATTCCAGCTCTGATCCTTTACTAGTTGTATGACTGACCTTGTGCAAGTCTCTATCCTTTCTCTGTCCTGCAAGGACAGATGGGGTGAAGGTCCAAAGATATCTAAAAGGGACAGGGCCAAGGCTTTAAACCACCTAAATGTATATGCATACCACTTGGCATATGGTAGGGCTTCAAAGAATGTTTCATTTGAAAGGCATACTGTGGGACCTTAGTATGGGCTCATTTTACCCCCAACCCCACATAGCAGTTCTGCCACCACTACTAGCCCAGATACTAACTACACCCAGTACCTCATGGATGCCAGGTGCCTCATGGCCACATCCAGGGCTTGCACAGACTCCAAGGGAACAGGGATCTGGCCACTAACAAGGGCCTCATGGAGCATGCGCCAGCTAACAATAGCTAGCCACTTGATGGAGACCTTGAAGATTCGATCCTTCCCTTCCCCAGGGATTGTCACCTCAAAGTCAACCTTCAAAAGAAAGGAGTGAAGGATTGCCAGTGCTTTCCAACAATCCAACATTCCTGGTGTTGCCCCAACTGTCCCCAACCACACAGATCTGCCAAGAATCTGCTCCTTAAACTGATAGGGGCTCACAGTGAAGACTTCAGAGGAAATTCAGCCATTTAGTCTCTAGCCACCTTAGTTCAGTGCTTCTGTCCCTCTCAACCACACCTAGCAGAAGTCCTTTAGGTCTATTTTAAGTCTAATCTCAGTCTGTTTGGGTAGGGACAGACATACAGTAAGCTAAATAAACAGCATCTACCCATCCCTCACCCTAATACACAATTTCTCATCATAAAAGATGAAAAGGATTTCTAGACTGCCAAACTCTAATAGGCTTAAACGAGTTCTGTCCCACCCCAGACCCCTGACACAGGTCTAGTCTGACTCCCAACTTACCCGTTCATTGCCAATGGGCAGTGCTGTGACAGTGTAAATGTTCTTCTTCCCATCATACACAGGCTTGCGATCACCAAAGATCTGAGGCTTGAAATGCTGGACCATGTATTCCACCACTTCCCTGTGGGGAATAGGAGCAGCCTGTAGAAGCTGAGAGACTACTACTTCAAGCTCTTGGAAGTAATTCAACGTTCAGGTAATGTCCATCCCCTCCTAACAGCTACTCTAATCTCATCTACTCTATAGCAGTGCTTCTCAAACGTCAACATTCATATGAATCACCTGGAGATTTTATTAAAATGGAGATTCTAATTCAAGTCTAGAGCAAAGCCTAAAATTCTACAGTTCTAACAAGCTATCAAGGGATGTTTCTGGTTCTCAGATCTCTAGAGGATCTCAAGACTCTGAAGGATCTAAAAGAGTAGGTAGGTACGAGTGCCTTCTGAGCAGAGAAGGAGGCAGAGGGGAAAGGGGATTACTCCCAGGGTCTATCTAGAATCAGGAATAGAATCCAGACAGCTCCAATCCCCGAGCTGAGACATATAAAAGGTAGATGAGGGATGCCTGGGTGGCTCAGTCAGTTAAATGTCCGACTTCGGCTCAGGTCATGATCTCACAGTTGGTGAGGTCAAGCCCCATGTCGGGCTCTGTGCTGACTGCTCAATCTGAAGCCTGCTTCAGATTCTGCAACTACCTCTCTCTCTGCCCCTCCCACACTCATGCTTTGTCTCTCTCAAAAAATAAACATTAAAAAAAAACAAAAAAGGTAAAGAGGAAGAGATCTGAATTAGAATAGGTCTAAACTATGGAAGAAGAACCCCATCTCGTCCATCTCTCTGAAGCCCTTAATCCTACCACCCCACTATCACCTCATTATCATCTCTTTCTTGATTTCACTTCCTGTCCTCTGCCACTAAGATCCCAGGGTGCCCATCTAGCCTTCAAAATACCATCCATCCAACTATCTGACCTCTTCACTTTCTAAACCAAAGCTCTTAAATATACTGATAAGAAGACTCAAATTGTACATTGTAAGCAACTATAAGCACATGGTTTCAATCCCAATTAGGCTTTAGTGCTACCGAGCAATCTCTTTAATGTCCCTAATCACTTTCATTCCTTACAGACTGCCAAACTTCTCCTCTACCCTCTAACCCCAGAACCCATTCCTACCTCCAATCAAAAAGCAACTCTAGGGGCACCTGGGTGGCTCAGTCAGTTAAGCCTCTGACTTCAGCTCAGGTCATGATCTCACGGCTCGTGAGTTCGAGTCCCGTGTCAGGCTCTGTGCCAACAGCTCAGAGCCTGGAGCCTACTTCAGATTCTGTGTCTCCCTCTTTCTCTGTCCCTTTCCTGCTCAGGACTTCAGCTCAGGTCATGATTTCACAGTTTATTGATTCAAGCCCAGCATGGGGCTCTGTGCTGACAGCGCAGAGCCTGCCTCAGATCTTCTGTCTCCCTCTCTCTTTGCCCCTCTCCAGCTTGTGCCCTCTCTCAAAAATTAACAAACATTAAAAACAACAACAACAAAACAAAACACCTCTAATTACTAAATAGTATAGCACAAAATAGGCAAAGATACCTTCAAGTTCCCAGACATATAAACATATGTACATATGCACACCTCTTTTCCTATTTTTCCTCACACATTTGAAATTTCCCTTTCATATATAATTTTTAAAAATATGAAAATACGTTCAACTTCACTCATTAGAGAAACACAATTTAAAATTAGACCAAGACTGGGGCACCTGGCTGGCTCAGTCAGTAGAACATGCAACTCTTGATCTCAGGTTTGTGAGTTCAAGCCCCACAACGGGCACAGAGATTACTTCAAAAATTTTTTAGAAAATAAAGATATAATTTTCTACTTATCATAATTCCAAAGGTCAAAAAATCCAATATACTGGATGGGTGCAGTTATGGGAAGGGGCACTCTGATACTTTGATGATGGGAGTATAAATTGGTACAACTTACCCTAAAAGAAAAATTGGTAATATCTCAAAATTTCTTTCTTTTTTAAGTTTATTTATTTAATGGGGGTGGGAGGGGCGGCAGCAGAGACAGGGAGAGAAAGAATCCCAAGCAGGCTCTGCACTGTCAGCACAGAGCCCAACGTGGGGCTCAAATCCACAAAACATAAGATCACAACCCGAGCTGAAATCAAGACTCAAATGCTAACCGACTGAGCTACCCAGGTGTCCCTCAAAAAAAATTTTTTAATGTTTATTTTTGAGAGAGAGACACAGCATGAGCAGAGCAGAGGTGGAGAGAGAGACACACACATATACAGAATCCGAAGCAGGCTTCAGGCTCCAAGCGGTCAGCCCAGAGTCCAATGTGGGGCTCAAACTCACAAACCTCCAGATCATGACCTGAGCTGAACTTGGACGCTTAACCAACTGAGCCACCCAGGCACCCCTCAAAATTTTTCAAAGTATTATGCCAGCAATTCTACTCTTAGAACTTTATCCTATAGATACATTCATATTTGAGTGCAAAAAATGTATCTATATTTAATAATATCCAACAGGTTCACTTTTGTAGCAAAAGTTTAAGCTAAGCCTAAATGTTCCTCAACAGATTTATTAAATAAGTTATAATACATCCATTCAATGGAATATCTATGATGCTATGCAAAAGGCAGATATGCATGTACTGATACATACTGTTCAGTGGAAAAAAGGTGCAGAACAAGGCATATAGGATTCTACATTTTGTGCATTTAAAAAATGTTCTATATACACATATGCTTGCATACGCATACAAAAATATATGGAGACATACTCAAGAATGGTAACAATGAATGCCTCTAGGGAAAGGGACTCAGGGACTAGAGACCAGAGTATAAGAGGAGATATTTTTCACTGCTATTCTTTTTTTAATATTTTAACTTTTTTCTTACTTTGTACATACGTAGTTTTCAAATAATAATGAAATTAGTTAATTTGGTAAAGAAATATTGCTTCTTCTAAGGCTAATTCCTCCAACTATGTATCCTGTAATGTCCTCCTGACTTAGCAATGAGTGGAAACTCATTCATCTCCTCTCTGTCCTGTACCTTTAACCTTTCTCCAACAACTTCTCCTCAGTTTATAAGCATATCCATGTCTCGTTCTTAAAAACTTTTCATTCATTCATTTTAACAAACACTGCAACATGCAACACATTGTACTTGACCTCTATAAATCCTCTCTAACCAACATATTCTCTCTCCGCATGCTTCACTGTAAGCTATCTAGAAAAGGCAATCTGCTCTCACAATACCTACCACATTACCTTCCATTGATCTCTCAACTGACAATAGATTACTAGCCCAACTAATCTGCTAAAACTGCTCTGCAAAAGGCACCAATTATCTCCACAGAGCCAAATTCAATGATATTTTTCAATATTTACCTTACCTAAACCTCCTCAAAAACTTCCTTGAATCTGGTGATATCATACTCTACCAGTTTTCTCTGGATCCTCTCAAGATTCTGAGACTCAGGAAAGTAAAGACCCTGGACTTGGTGGCTTAGATGTGTATCACTTACCGGTTGACTCTGCGAGGACACTTATCCGGCTTGATATCCACTTCGTAGTGGTAGACGTCAATCTTAGGGATATCCACCTCAAAGTAATTGGCCAGAAGCTTGATTGGTTTCCCCACAGTGCCAATGCCAGGCCGGCGAGGTGCCTGGAACACCTGCTGCAGGGGGGGCAGGTAGGCGCCTGCAGCTACAAGACAAAGAGGCTGGTGAGGGTAGAGTCTGGCATCTCCTTACCATTCTGATCAAAGAAGGCACAAAGCCTCCCAGAAGAAGAACAGGAAAGTATAGGGGAAGCTTCTTTCCTGCCTACCCAACCCAACTGAAGGGTTCCACTGGCTCAATCAATCCATGTTTTTTGTTTTTTTGGGGTTTTTTTTTATGTTTCTTTATTTTTGAGAGAGAGAGAGAGAGAGAGAGAGAGAGCAAGGGAGGAGCAGAGAGAAAGGGAGACAGAGGATCTGAAGCAGGCTCTACACTGCTCAAATGGAGGACTCAAATTCATGAAGTGTTAGATCATAACCTGAGCTGAAGTTGAACGCTTAACCAACTGGGCCACCACGTGTCTCTCCATATTCATTTTTTTAAAAACCTCTCTCCAGTTAGGAAAATTATCTTTGTCATCTACCTTAAATTCATGTGAATATTTAATACGTTCCTATTATATGTCAAGTAGAGAGGCTAAATCTGGCTCCCAATAATAAACTTTCTTCCTTATTTTAGAGTAAGACACCTGCCTCCACCAGGTATCTAGTAGACCAAGAATTCTTGTCTTCTCTGCCAGCCAGATGCTCTCTTCACTCATTACCATCCTGAACATGAAACAGCAACATCTTAATGCTCCTGTGCAATGTAGGTGGGAGGAAGATCCAAAGAAGGTCAGGCTAGGGAGATGTGAGGGGAGACAGTGTTTTAGAAAGGATTGAGGCCACTGAAAGGCTGAGGTTGGAGAGACAAAAAAGCAGAAAAGGCTTTAAAAAAACAGAGTTTGGAGACAAAAGAAAGGAGACAGGCTGAAATAGGGAGATGACAAAGAGCCACAATTGGAAGTCAGAGCAGAAAGAGGCTTGATCTAGGAAGGAGGGAAGGCTGGAGTTAGGGCCTGGGCAACATATAGGTTAGAGTTGGGAAGGTGAGTAAGAAATAAGGCTGCAGTTGGGGAGACAATAAATAAAAAAGTTCAAAAGAAAAAGCTAGGGAATGAAGACTGGCAGAACACAGGAGAATGAGACAAGAGTAGGCTACAGTAGAGGACTTGGGAAGGAGAGGTGGCCATTAGCATGCTAGAGAATAATGAGATACTTGTTTCAGGAAGGAGAATACAAGGTGCTCTCCACAGCCATAGCTCCTTCCACACAGAGGGCCCAGACAGTAGCAGAAGGGATCAATTTCAAGATAGAGCAGGCCCTTTGGGAAAAGGCTAGGGCAAGGCCAGCTCCCACTGCTTTTCCTCTCTTCCCACCAGCTAGGTTGCTGCCCCTGGTTTTATTTTCTAGCTTGAGGGGAAAGGGAGTAAAAAGGGAAGCTGTCTAAGAGAAGCTTTTGTCCATAGCTACTATTGTCCTTGCCATTAGAGGACCAGCCCAGGTGGGAGGAGAGAGGGATAAACTAGCCCAGAACCTCCCAACACCAGAGCTCTGCTTTCACAGTCGGCCAGGCTGGGGGGATGGGGCATATCCTCAGCTAGGGGTCAGGAAGAGGTCAGAACCATTCACGGGAGGGGCACGATTCCCAGAGCTAAGCTGCTGTGTCTCCTTCTGACCACCTGTCAAGCCCAGCCCCACTCTGCAGACAGGGAAACACAGAAAAATGAAGGCTCAGCCTGGGGGAAAAAGGCCTTCAAGGACTCAGCCATATGGGCAAGTGAAAGCCTAACTACTAACTAGCACCTGGGTGCCTATCCCAGAAAGAGCTGGACAGAAATTGCACACAAGCAATAGATGGATGCAGACACATAGTAAGGCACATTCCTGTCATACACACCTAAACACTCACTTACACCTAGACAGTTTACCTTTATATGCATACCCCACACCACCCTAGATTGTGAGTTATTCAAGAGCAAGGACTGTATCTTGCCTCCTAGCATATAGGTGTTCAACATACAGGCAATAAATGAATGAACAAACAGATCCTCAGACACACCACAAAGAACACACAAGCATGTATACCACACAAACACAAAACACCTGCAAACTGCTCAAAAACAATTATAAACTCTGAACAAGATAAACATCCTGGTGGATGTAAGAGACACCCTTCCCCTCCCCAAGTTTTCATGTTCCATTCATCTCCTTAGCCTCCCAGGCTGAATAATTATTTGTGGAGTCTTGGGAAAAAGACATACCCTAGAGTTGGGGGCTGGGTAGAAATAATGGGGGATGGGACAGACACTCTAGCCTCAAAGGCTTCTCTTCCCCAGAAATAGGACTACACACTAAATTCAGCCTTAGGCACCCTCCACTCCAAGGAAGCTTTAGGAAAACAGGAGAACCCCCATCTTCCCTTTCATCCCCAAACTAGGGAAGGCAAAAGGGAGAACCTCTCTCCCATCCCATCCCCCTGCAAGCCTTAGAGCTGTACAAAGTCCTCCCCTTACCCCACCCTGCCCCCAGCTTTTAGTCTGAGAAAGGGAGACACTTCCCTTCAAACCCAGACAGGGACAGACGGCCACTTTGTGATGCAGATGAGGGCCCCAGCACAGAGGACAAAGCTTGGGCCTTGGGGGAAAGGGGCGGGGCCCTTCCTTGCAGACAAAAGCAAGGAGGGAGGGGCCATGAAAAGGACACTCCTCCTCCCCCATCCCAACCAGCCCTGAGAAGGAAAAGTAACAGAGCTGAAAGGTCTGGCTCAGTGATTCCTTCCCTGTAGTTCTGAGGCCCACATACCTCCTAAGGAGCCAGACTGCCTATTCAAAACACAAACTCAAGTCTGGGGTAGCCGTCCAGTAAGCAAAGATTAAGAGGCCAATCTCTCCGAAAAAGAATTTGTCCGCACATGAGTATACGCAACTTATTAGATATCCATATATGTGCTTAACCATTTATGTTCACACTGGAATGTGATTCAATTACTAAATGTGTACTTCATTTCAGGGCCTAGACACTCACTATTTCCACAGATAAATCAGACATTACCTCTACCCTCCTGGAGCTTCCAATCCAGTATATGTGAGTGGAACACACCTGAGCACAGAAAACACACTGGGACATAAGTCCAGTGAAGCCAGCACCAATACCTTTAGTTTTGTGTACTGTGTCCTCCAACTTCCAAGAGAAAAGTCTGGGCCTAGGAAGCAGGCAGTTATAGGCTCCTGCCATTCACAGCTTCCAGAATGAATTCCAAATACACCTTTTGAAGAGGCAAAGCCTGTCCCACTAAGCTACAGCCAACTCCAGATACCAGGCTCTAGTCCCTTCCCTAGAAGTTTCTCTCTTGTAACAAACAAAAAAGTCCATTTCTTCATCACCCCAGAGTCCATTAGGAATTCATCAGGAGAAATCATGAGCAGTTTGATATGAGTGCCAGCTCCCAGCAATCCATCTGGACCTCTGTGACCTCCTCCTACTCTAGTACACAGGTTGCTGCAAATAGTCTCCAGCCTAGAAAACCAGGAGAGTTCCTAGAATGGAGAAAGAAGCCAGAGGGAAGGAGGAAGTAGTTTTCTGAAGTCAGTTGCTCCCTGCACTCTACCTGAAGACCTACCTACATAGCCTTTACAAGGTTGCTTTTGTTTTGGGGAAAGTGGTCACAAAGTACTTGCAGATCACTAAACTGATAACTTGGGTACGTTGGTAGGAGCTATTTCCTTGAGGAAGTTAAGATCTGGCATAAATGAGATTCTTCCACCAGAAATGAAATTCATGTCCTAAATAGAAATCCTATACCCACCTCTAGAGCAAATGGAAGGAGGTAGTGAGACAAGACCTAAAGGATTCCCAGATCCAGAATGCTCCTCTGATCAAAGGGTAAAAAGACCTAGGACACAGCAAGTCCCACTACCCCACAGCCTATCCTGGAGACTCTGGTCTTCTTGAGGCAACCCTACCCCAATTTCTCCTGTTTAGTCTCCTTTCCTCCTGATTGCTTGTGAATACCAGGGAGTGAAGGCTACCACCTGGGATTCCCCCTCCCCCAAACAAAGGGCAAGCTTGGCAACCTTGGGTCTAATGTCATGGCCTTGACAGTTTCTTGGGAGCAGAGAAAGGAAAAAGAAAAAATACCCAGTGGGGAACAGAAGCCACAAAATATAGAAAGACATTAGGCTATCACCTGAGGAGACATTTCAATGGAAAAATCATAATCTTTGGATTAAAAGATCCCATGTCTACAAACTATTGGACCACAAACGAGGAAACCAGGCAGACAACCCCTTTCAGGTAAACCTGGTCCCGGCCTTGGTCCCTCAGTAACCAACACCTTTTCTAAGGAGGACTCGCCGCCAGAACATTGCCTTGGTCCTAGTCTTTCCTCATCCCAGTGACATAAGGCGGCACTTTGGCAGTTTCCTTCAACCCGTTCTTGGCAAATTGTGACTGAGGGCTTCCAAGATCAAGTGTAAGAGCCCCAAAGATGGGGAAGGGGATAATTTCCATTTGCACTCTGCCAGCTTAACCTTAGAGAATGCATCCCATCAGCGGGCTCCTTTTTCCAAGCCAAATCAGGCGGGGTGGGGGGTGGGGGGATTCGGGCAGCCACGCCCCCACCACTTCGGGCAGCCCCTTCAAGTTGCCACCTTCGCGCATGCTCAGGCGCCTCCGCTCCAGCTCCCCAGACTCAACGGGGGGAATCCCGGGACTGGATCCCCACCCACCGCCCCCTGACCCTCGCCCCCGCGTCAGGCCCGGCTGGGGCGGAGCTCATAGCCCAGCTCTGGCGCCTTCTCCCAAGAGACAGTAGCCCAGCCCAGCCTGGATGAGCCCCCGCCCCCGGCATGCAGCAGCACTGGGCCCATCTGTGTGACCCCCTCCTATCCTGGACACCTGGAGCCCGCCCCCTGCCACCTGCCGGGCCTCTCCCTAGGCCTCCCAGGATCTCCCGGAGTCCTTACGTGCATTCAGGCCCTTCTCCCTGATTACTTCCCACCTCTAGGAGTGGGATAAACGGCTTTGATAAACGGCCCGCGTCTCAGGGCTTCCTTCACAAGGTTTCCCCCGGAACTGCACACAGCCACCTTCAAACTGGGCCCCCCATCCCATAAAAGCCCCTCTCCTCACTCAGGAAACCTCCCCTCACTCGGAAATCCTGCTCTTCACGCGGGAATTCCCCCGGTCCTTGGGGGCACTCACCGTCTCCCACTCCCAGGGGCCCTTACCTGCTCCCGAGGGTCCCGCTTCCATCCCATATACCCGTGTGGAGGTCAGGCGGCCCGGAGACTGTGGAGTCCAGAGTGAGGGGCCTAGGTACCCAGCACTCTAGCTGCTCGGGCTTCCGGGCCGGGCTCGGCACCCCCCCCAAGCCCGGCCGCTCGCGCCGCTGCCCCCGCAGCCTCCGTTGCCGCCGCCGCCGCGGAGCCTGCAGCAGCTCCCCCAGCGAGCGCCCGGCCAGCTGCCAGTGCGCAGGCGCGACCGCCAGGCCCAGGGGGCGGACGGGAACGAGTCAAGCGGGGCGCTCCGACGGCAACAAAGGCCAATGGAGAGGGGCGGGAGCACCGGGGACCCGAGGCAGCGGCCCCTGGCGGTCACCCATCGCCATGCAGCCTGGCGGGAGGGCTCCGGTAGAGGCGCCGCGGAATCGCGCAGCAGCGTAAGTGGGGTGGAGCAGGGGAAACACCCCCCCCACCCCGCAGCAGCTCTGGCCCTGTTTCTTTTACCCAAATAGGTCTCTCCAAATCTACACACAGCCTCCTCCCATTTGCACACAACCACACGCACATCACAGAAACCCCACCTCATTCCCAGGTCCCCCTCACACACTCGGAGCACCCCATCACCCAGGGGCCCTGCCTCCCACCTCTCCTCCCAATCACCCTCATCCTTCGAGCCTCGGCTGCAAAGAGACTGCCTCCGCGAAGCCTTTCTCCGTCCCTAGTCAATGAACTCACTGACGCCACCCTCTCTTCCAGGCCGTGTGCTGGGCGCTGGGACCACAGATGCGAAAGAGACCCTGCCTACGCTGGAAGATGTCACAGTCTCAACTTAAGCGTGGCTACAGAGTTCAATCTGTGAGACCTTGGAAGAACCTGCCTCCGCTTTTTCATCCGGAGCTCACCCCTGAATTCGGTCAATCTGCTTCTGCACTCACCACATCACTTAAAATACTTTTAGTGTCAAAATCCAAAAGATAATTTTTGATTATTTCTCCGTGGCATCTGAGACTGGCCTCCCCTTCCTTTTTGAGCCTTACATAGACTCCATAATTTTCTGAGGTCTCCTATTGCCTAAATCCTTTTCAGTCTTCTTCAAGGGCTCCCTGTTGCCTTTCTGCCCCACTGAATAACAGTGTTCACTGTGGTTTCAAATCCAGCTCTCTTTTCATTTCTCCCTCCACTTTTCCCTTGAAGGTCTCATCCATTCTTATGGCTCAACTATCTCTCCAAATCTCTATCTCCAGCCATGTCTTAGACTCATATTTCCAAGTGTATGCTGGACAGCTCCACCTGGATCTCCAGCACTTCAAATTCGGAGTCCAAAATCAAACTCTTTATCTTTCCCCCACAAATGTGCTTGTTCTATGCCTCCTTTCTCTGCAAATGGTGCCTTCATCCCAGAACCGACAGTTTCTCCTCCTTGTTTCTTGCCCCCATTCAGCTGTTCACCAAGTCCTGACATGTTTACCTCCTGACTTGCTCTCACATGACTCTGCCATTCTGAAGGCTCCTTGTGCTAGTGCAGATCCTTGGTGCTAGTTCATACCTTGCCAAAAGTAACACAACTACTTCCATGCTAGTCTCACAGTGCCTGGGACAATTCCTCCCATTCAGTTGGCTGCAGTTGAGAAGTGGTAACTTTCCCATATATTCATATATATTCACCCATATATATTTTTTGATGCCTACTTTACACTAGATACTGTGCAGAAGGCTAGGAGCTTGAGAGAGAGAACATACCCAGTCTCTACCCATAGGAAGATTAATTTCTGACACTTAACATAGTGTGCCTTGCTTCTCTCGAGCAGAGGTTCTCAAATACAAGTATCAGAATCACCTGGAGTGCTTGTTAAAACATAGATTGCTGAGCCCCACCTCCAGAGTTTGTGATTCAGTAGGTCTTGGGTAAGACACAAGAATGTGCATTTCTTTTTTTTTTTCAGGGTGCATTTCTAATAAGTTGCCTGATAAGGCTGATGCTGATGATCTAGGAACCACACTCTGAGAACTATTGCTTTACAGTATAAAGAACAAAGACTCTAGAGCCAGACTGTTTTGGCTTTAATCCTGGTGCTGCCATTTACTAGCTGTGTAACAGGGGGCAAATTACTTAATTTCTCTGTATTTCAATTTCTTCCTCTCCCATTTTAGGGGGTGAAATAGCATCTACCTCATTGGGCTGCTGTTAATACATATAAAGGACTTAGTACCTAGAAGGATGCAGACAAAGTATTAGCCACTATCATAATCACTGTCTGCCTCTTGCACTATATTCTAAGTTCCTGAAGAACAGGGACCAAATCAGATGCATCACTGTCCCCTGTTAGTGCCTCGCGCAAGCTATGCCTAGAATGATCAGTAAATATGGGTTGATCTGACTCTGAAACAGATGGCTTCAAAACAACCTCAGAAATAGCAAGACCTTTGCCTTGGCACAACTAAGCTAGAAGCTCAGCATTCCATTAGAAGAGTATGAATCTCCTGTTCTAAATACCAAGCCTCACACTTAACTTTATGGAAAGCCATTGGTTACTATTCTGACCCGTCTCCAAAGTGGCTAGTGGAGTCAAGCCTGGCCCTGGCCTTTCTGCAGACTGTCTCCATCATCACGGGTTTCACTCTAGGGTAGGCAAAGTAGTAGAGTATAAAGGAAATCCTCACAGCATTTTGGTATTTTTATGTAAAATTCTTCCAGTAATTCCTAATATACTTTCCCGGAGAGTTATTGGGTCCTTGGCTATTTGCAGTTCAATCCTTGCATCTCTGTGTACCACTAACTCACATTCAAGGGCCTCTGTTGTGTGGGCCAGAGCCCAGGTCTTTCCACTTATTATATACCTTTCTCTATGGCCTGACTTTCCTGGCCACAAAACAACAAGAATGACCTGGGGAAAAAAGAACAAAAAACAAAAAACTGCATCTCCATCTATAGTTTGCTCTTTTTGTATTTAAAATACAGCCTGGGGGGGGCGCCTGGGTGGCGCAGTCAGTTAAGCATCCGTCTTCAGCCAGGTCACGATCTTGCGGTCCGTGAGTTCGAGCCCCACGTCAGGCTCTGGGCTGATGGCTCAGAGCCTGGAGCCTGCTTCCGATTCTGTGTCTCCCTCTCTCTCTGCCCTTCCCCCGTTCATGCTCTGTCTCTCTCTGTCCCAAAAATAAATAAACGTTGAAAAAAAATTTTAAATACAGCCTGGAACAATAAGATCAAGGTATTAAAATAGACAGGAAACAAATCATATACCCTACTATCTGAAATGAATCACCAACAGCTCTTGCATGCACCATCTCTTTTTATCTATAGTAAAATATAGAAGTGCCTGGGTGGCTCAATCGGTTGAGCATCAGACTCCTGATTTCTGCTCAGGTCATGATCCCAGGGTCATGAGAAGGAGCCCTGAGTCAGGTGTCATGCTGAGCATGGAGCCTTCTTAAGTTTCTCTCTTTATGCCCCTCTCCCCACCTCATGCACTCTCTCTAAAATAAAAAATAGCAATAAATAAAATATATTTCTCATATATTTCAGGACATAATTTTAAAAATCAGAAATTATGAACAATAGAATTAGTAAATGTCAACTGGTACCTTGAAAAGACTTATGAAATTGGTAGACTTTTTAAAAATTATCGTTTTTTTAAAGTTTATTTATTTTGAGAGAGAAAGAAAGAGAAAGAAAGTGTGTGCACACAGGGGAGGGGCAGAGAGAGAGGGAGAGAGAAAATCCCAAGCAAGCTCTGTGCTGTCAGCGTGGGGCCCAACATAGGGCTCAATCCCAGGAACCGCGAGATCATGACCTGAGCGGAAATCAAAAATCAGGACACCCAACCAACTGAGCCACCCAAGCACCCCAAAAAATTAATCTTTAAATTAAGGTATAATTGGCATACACTAAATTGCACGCATATATATATAGTGTACAATTTAATCAATTCTAACTTATGTGTCAACCTATGAAACCATCATCACAATCAAAGCAGTGAACAAATCTATCACTCCCAAATTTTAAAGCTTATCACAGAGATTTAATAAATAAAAGGGAACTTTTTACACAACTATAGACTACTGAATTTGAAACCCTGAGTAAAATTTAAAATTACATACATATTTTTTCTTTAAAAAATGCAAAACAAGGACTCAAAAGCAAGAACTGAACAACAATTACAGAGGACATTGAGAAAGTTATCAAAAATGACAAAAGAAATCTGGCCCAGAAAGTTCACTGTTTAATACTTCCAACCATTCCTGAAAGAAAGAATTCTGTTCCATGTTATATGAATGGATCTAGGACATGGGAGAAAGAAGAATTTTCCTAGTCTGTTCACAATTGCAGGTATAGATCTTCATCTCTTATCAGATGATATTATAAAAAGAGATCTCAAGAATATGGATGCAAAAATTGCAAGTCAAATACTAGCATGTAGAATTCTATGAGATTAATTAAAATTATGATAATAAGAATAACTTTTTTTAAAGTAAACTCCATGCCAAAGGTGGTGCTCAAACTCACAACCTTGAGATCAAGGGTCGCATGCTCTACCAAATGAACCAGCCAGGCACCCCAACAATAGCTAACCTTAAGTGTTTACTTAATATTAAGTGCCAGGTACTATTCCAATACTTCCCATATGTTAACTCACGTAATCTTCACAAAAATCCTGGTGCATCATGGGACAGGTAGGTGGGTTTGGGCTGAGAAGCAATAGGTAAATAACCAGCAAAGGCAGGTACTATTACTAAAAATGGAGACACAGATAAGTAATTTGCCCAAGATCATACAATTTGCAACTAGCAGAGGCAGAACTTGAACTCAGTTGGATGGCTTCAGGGTCATCACTCTTAATCACAACACTATATAACATTATTAAAATAAAAGCATATCACAAACATAAGGGTAATTCAGGGATAGTTCAAAAATAAAGAAATACCGGGGAGCCTGGGTGGCTCAGTTGGTTGAGCGTCCAACTTCGGCTCAGGTCATGATCTCGCGGTTGGTGAGTTCAAGCCCCGCATCAGGCTCTGTGCTGATAGCTCAGA